TAACCTAATTTTTTTTATCAGATGTGTTATGTCGACCCAATTAATGAGCTAATCTAAGTCGACCTATTTAATCTATATTAGCTATATTCGTTTTCACTTGTTATTACTTATTGACACAAATATTGTGACACCATAACAAGTTCGTTATTTTATATTTTCTATTGTTCATGAGTATGAAAAATCGCAACATTACAAACCGTTATAAGAAAAAAGTTTCGATTTTTATGTTATGTTGCTCTTGGTACAATGGACCTTCAAAAACCTTTGTAGTAATTTAATTTATAAGTTAGGAAAAAGAATTCAATTGTAAGATGTTTTGTTCAAGGTTACGAGGGACTAACATAAACATTTGTAAATCTTCACAAGAAATGGAATTTTAATTTTACGACGATTTACTCATAGTAACGATACACCGTCACAAATCTTTGCAAATCGTTGCAAGCAAAAAATTAATATTACGACATATCCTTGGTTACAACAGATCATCATAAATCTTTGTAAATCATCATAAGAAAAATAATTTGGTTTTACGGCATTTTGTTCTTGGTTAGGACGGATCTCCATAAGCCTTGGTAACTCGTCTCGTAAGAAAAACAATTTGCTTTTTTCCTGTGTGCCTCCCTCGCCAAGACCTAAATAATGGGGATTGAGTGTGTACTAAAAAATGACTAATAATACGTGAAAACACGGTGTCACTTAGCCAAGAAAGGAAAAGAGGCATAAGAAACAAAAGCGCTCTGTTTGGTGTTCTTCTCCTCATTTTTCGTATAGACGTAGCAGGAACCCCCTATGACTTTCATTTTTGTCAAACGGCACAAATTTTAACCAAAATTTTTAAATTTTGTGTCCACTAAACCAAAATGACCACCGTTGGATGTCGATTGGCGAAAATGAAAGTTACATTGAGTTTCTACTACATCTATATGAAGAAGGAGGAACAGAAAACCAAGCAGAACACCAGGGAGGGCGTGTTGCAGGATCTCCTTCTCCACCTAATCCCGTCCATTCGCCACATGCTCATTTGCACGGTTGGGATCTACTTCATCCAACAGGCCTCCAGCATCGACATCATACTACTCTATAGCCCCGCAGTTTCGAGAAGGCCAGCATCACCTCCCTTGACAAAAATCTCCTCGCAAACATGGCAGTCAATTTCGTAAAGACAGTGTTCATCCTCGTCGCCACCTTTCTCCTTGACCGGGTCGAACGGCAGCCATTGCTGCTGTATAGCATCGGCAGGATGATCTTCTCGCTAACCAGATTATGGTTACGCCCACATCTAACCATGGCCTAGACGTGGTCGGGCCATGCCCTCGTCATGGACGGGCCCATGGCCTCATTGTGCCCTTGTTGGCAAGGCCAGCAATCGAGCTTGGCCCGGTTGGTCCACACCCGAGGCTGGGCTATAGATCATTCTTTATGAAAATTACCCAGGTACCCCTTGACTCGAAATGAGCAAAATACCCTTTATACTTAAAATTGTCTAATATGCCCTCCAAGACTTAAGATAATGACTGAAATACACCTTAAACTCAACTTTGTGCATGCGGGTTCTGCTCGAATATTGAAACACGAAATGAGATGCACGACTAAAATTATATTTATATGAAATAGATTCCAGTTTCTCAAAATATGCAATAATGACTTTAGAGCAAAAAATTTAGGTGTCAATGCTTAGTTTCAACAACCCATCATAAACCTTCCTAAATTGTCATAAGAAAAAGATATCAATGTTATGACGAAGAGTCATAAACTAAGGTGAGTCATCGTAAATAAAAATATTTCATCTCGGGTGTCCCGTTTTGTAGCGCATCGGATGTCCATAGTTTTCCGGAGATGGGTAATAGGGCGAAACTTTTATTTTGAATTAACTGAAGGATACATGATGGGATGCATCGCACGCAATAATGTTTAGCCAAAGTTTGGGGATTTGATCACGAGTACTCTGCAATGTGTTCTTCTGGTCTGAGTTTATCTCATGCAAAAACGAATCTTTTCACGCCATTCCTCGATCAAACAAGTAGCGTTGCCTCGGAACGAGGATCAAGCGGCGTGTACTTTGAAGGTCTCGCTCTTTATCGGCCTAAGATCACACTGAATGCTCAAGCCCATCTCTTTTCGGTTGCAAACGAGGATATCATCAAGAATGAAACTATTGTGTGAAGCAGCAGCTGCTTCTGTCAGAAGCATCTTTGGCAGTTTCATAGGCCTAGGCAACGATCCTCGTTATTCAGCCCAAAAGAACTTGACAGTTCTCGTGCCATTACAGATAGTGACGTGATAATCTGCCGCTAAATGCGCTTCCGTTATACATGGAGGAGTCACGGATTTCATGACATACACGGTGCCACCTTGGAGAATCCAGAGTTACAGTCTTGTAAGGAATGCCTCACGAGTATAGATATGCATCAAGACTCAGTACTCTCACGAACCAACCCTTGAAGATGAAGATGAAGACCGTGCCTTGTTTTACTCTCCTCTCTGTCCTCACAGTTGCTTTGCTGGTATTCTCATGTGGGTATATGATCATCTTTCCTTATTTCTTTCTGGGAATGTTCCTTGCGCTTTTGTCTACTACCATATGTCATTTCATCAATGTACAAATGCTTTAAAAAATTGCAGGGGTGAGGATAGGGGAGGCACAGAAATGTGAGTACCCCACCATTAGTGTCCCGAACTGCTCGAAGCAGAAGTGTGTGGAAACCTGCGTCGAGAAGTATGGGCAAAGCATTAACGGCGGATGCATCGACACAAACAGCTGTTGCTGCCATATTACAGGGGCTCCATCTTGATCCATGTTCCCATTGCCCCATATGTAGTCCTCTCGATGACTCAAATAATAACTTTCTTATGTTTGAGTATTCTTTCTTAAACTAACTTAAGAATTCTGCACTTTTCGTTTTAGAGTTCCTCAAGAAAATGAGCAAGAACATGTTTGAATTGGGTTTCAGTACATTTTGCATTTACTTATTAATTCATCCAAAAGACCTGGAGCAACTATCTATTGAATACTCCTATATTGGTTCGCGGTTGAAGCCGATCGACATGTTTCGGTTTTCTCAATCACCTGTATTAGCTAAAATTGACAAAACTTTCCAGTTGGAGGTGTCCTGCGTGCTCTTCTTTGTGCAGATCCTTAGTTTTATCTTCAACAAAGACATGGAGGTGGAAAAAGGATTGGTGATTCCAAACTGTTTTCTTTCAAGTAAAATTATTTGCACTATAGTCAGCAGTGCGTCCATACACAGGAAGGACAGAGGTGATGAGTAGATTTAACCGCCGTGACTATAAATGTTGTTGCAAATTACACCCGAGAATCTGATGTAATGCCTTGGCATGTTAAGTAGTTCACGAGTTAATCGCGTTGATGAGATTAAGGATACAAATAACCGTGCGCATTATTGCTATTGTTTCACAAGCTCATGTGTCTATGGGATTTTTAACAACATTCCAAAAGGGAATGCATCATGGAGCATTGGAACGCAGTGGATACTAAGATAGCATGACAGAACTCCGCGTGTTAAAAATGTGGAACGCGGCATCTTCACTTCTAAGCGAAAACCTTGTGAATTTCATTAATGACACCGTATTGTGTTATAAGAAAAGGGAAATCATTTGGCAAGATAAATGGAATTCCCTATTGACCTAACTCAAGTACAAATGCCTATCCTCTTGTTGTGTTTGATGACAATATCAACTGAAAACTCAAGACTCACTCGAAGCCTATACATTTCTTTTTTTATTCTTTTTTCCTTTTTTGGTCAGAGAAGCCTATACATTTCATTTTGTGGAAGATTGTGGGCTCAATTTTGCCCAAGTCCTTATGGCGACCCTTGGCAAAGCATGTCTGAATCCTGATGCCTCTGAACTAGCGGGTCAAATGGCCAGGAAAGAGTCCTCTTAAGTCCCAATCATGACTAGTTCTTGGTTTAAAACAAATGTGTACTATTTTAAGGGCAACTTTGTCCTTAAGCTATTCAAACTTCTCTTTCACTGGCTGGATGGTCAAATATTTCATCCTCCCAAGTCTCGCGGAGTTTTCAAATCGTTTTCTTTTTCCCCATATTTTTAGTGTTTTGTCCCAACAAATGCATGCGCGTCATCTGACTCTCAGATAGAATAATTTGAATGCCTTGGAGAGCAAGGCAGAAAGTATGCACACCACCTTGGCCTTTTCTATTATTCTGACCGTGATAAACACGGACTTGGCAGCATGACATTGTCATTCGGCATTATAAAGAGGCTCAGACTCGAGCTCAAGAAACATCATTCGCTTGCCTCTTCCAATTGCAGAGGAAGGCAACATGAGCCCCCGTTTTTCTATCCTTGCTGAAACTCTGCAAGCGTTGAGCTGCCAAGTGTAGTAGTCTTGCTTCCAGCACAATACCTTCTTCTTTTTTGTCAAATCTGCACAATACTTCACCCTTTGCATTTTAGTACATTTTTCTTTTTTGTTCATGCGGAGGACAATGACGACAATCTTTTGTTCGCTCGTTGTTCGTAACAGTGTGATTGCCTTGCCGACAAAACATCATTATATTTATCCGAGTCCTCTGTCTCTCACACACATTCGAAATCTTCTTCTGTATTCTTCTGTTTGAACTTGGCTAAGTTTTGCCTTTTTTTTTTACTTTTTTGGGAGAAGCTTGAACTTAGCTTAGTGGCAGCACGGTCCATCCCCTGCCACAGCCATTTCTCATTACTGGTTTGTGCTAGAGGTAATGACGAGACTTATTTATAATCGCATTTTCTGTTATTGCATCCGAAACAACTCCTCAAAGAACACAGGATACCTGGCATATGCACACGCATGTTTAGCTTGTTTCATGCATGAAAATGTGGCCTAGGCAACCAATTAGAGGCTTCTTTCAGGTAATTTATCTACTTTAATCACTGTATGAAAGTAGACTAGTGTGGTACAAGGTCATAGTTATTCCAGAACCAAATACAATTCCACTCTAGTACAGGTAATAGCTAAATGATGAAGATTGAGGGAACCAAAGCTTGTTTCATTCTATTAACTCAACGATGGTTGTCTGCCACTTTATGAATCAGTCGAGATATACAAATCCAGTAAGTCTCTGGTGCTTTATGACTTGAATGAATAAATAAAGTAGATAGCATGTCTGAAATGAATGTACGAAACTCTGGCTTCAATACCATTCAAAGAAACAAGTCCGACCACACTTCTGGGGCCATATTCACTGCCTGACCGATAGATAGGAATCCAAGAGCTACCCTTGCAAGCATAGCCTGAGCCTGCAATTACAGAAATCAAGAATAGGTAAGCCCCTTCTCATGAAGATCATACTCACTTGTTCTCTCTCTTTTCTCTCTCTCTCCCAAACACCGAAACACTTTTCACAGACCTCCGAGTCTGAGTTTCGTACAGCTTCAACCTTCTCATATGATGATGTGCAACCTACTACTTGATTCAGTAGAAAGGTATCTGCTGCTTTAATTGTCACGCCCCGAACCCCACGGCACGCAACATCCCCGCCTTGGCCGGTTATGGTGCAATGCTCCCAGGATGCGTCGCCGACCCAAACCCAATCAGAGAACAGACACAAGCGAAAACCACGTATATAAAAATATATATATATACACCCGTACAGATAAACACATGAGACCACAGATAAAACATCATACAAACAGGAATGTACATTTCATTACTCACTGAAATCCCCTGCTTACAACGTACTTTATACAGATCAAAAGATTTAAACGAAAACAACAACTTCTAGCAGCCACCAGATCAAAAATGTACCATGGCTGAGGAAAGGTGGGGTCAACTACAGGGAAGATTGCAGTCAAAAAGGTACTAGCTTCCCTAAAACGAGTTGGGACCTAAGCTAGGGCTCCCAATCCGGATCCGATGATTCTGAGGACTCCCCTGCTGGTCCCTCTTGAGGCTCGGACTCTTCGGAATCCATATCCGTTGCTGCTGCCTCTTCGTCTTCAGTATCCGGTTCAAACTCTGGGTAAAGATAAAGCCCTAACTCATCATCGAGTCCTATCTCTACATCCGATCCTACCTCTGCTACTTCCCCATGGTCCTCATCAGAATCTAGATCCATGTCCTCCAGTTCGTCTTCTTCCTCGGCAACTTGGTTTAGGTCTTCAGCTATCACCTGTGGCTCCTGTGGCTCCCCATCCATAGGCTCATCAACGCCATCTACATCGTAGACATCCTGAGGATTGATCACCTCGCCATCCGCATATATGGGTTCCATCCATCCATCTATCCTGACCAACTGGCGCATCAAAAGTCCTAAGGGGTTGCCCGAGGTTCCCATCGGCATCCCTCAAGCACCAAGCCACATACTCCTGAGTCTAATGAAAATATTCACTCACGTTTACAAACACCATGGATCGGTCTCTTACATACGATTCTCCATTTCCTGCGGGGTATGTAGTTGTATACTGATGTATCTGTATAGGTATTCCAAAAAGCGGTGGATTCGGCATCCTTACGGCTGGGGGTCTGAAAAGGTGGGTTATTACAACCGTGAGACGAATCTCAATGAGTATAACCCCTAAACCTAGGCAAGGCTAACATGCATTCTCCCGACAGGCAAAACAACATAGTACGCAAACGATGACTTGGCCCTCGGCCCAAATAGAACATAAAAATTACCCTGCAAGTTAGGCAGTTCATTAAAATTTCCAAGGCACATGCGCGAATACAATGGTCCCACGTGCACCACACGCATACTCATGCTCACAGTATTCATCTCACATACCGGGTCATGTATTCTATGCATGCAATGTCAATGTCATGCCATGCTTCCATTTCGGTTCACTCTACACACTGTCTCAATTATTAATAATTATTACGACTCGAGTCAACACAATTCCCGGCCCGGTGCGTCTAGCCTGCTTCAAAGTGCATGAGGCGCAACACCGATCTGGCCCAGTGTCTCTTGCCTGCTTCAAAGTGCATGAGGCGCAACACTGATCTCCTCACGAACCAGAGCCCGCGTAAAACGCATCAGGATGGTCGTCTTCCGGACTAACCGGGCATCGTCCTTCTTCAAAGTGCATGAGGACGGCACACCCCGCGTAACACGCATCAGGGCGAAATGTGATCACACATAAACACATCCAGTTATTATCTGAACCCCGCGTAACACGCATCAGGGCGTTTTAGGTGATCACATGCTCATGACAGGCACGCAGTCTCACACAATTTCATCACAAGCCTCATTCTCGACATTCATAACGCGTGCCATGAAATGCAACATGAGCATCCACATAACATAGGCACAAGCACACAGTTCAATCAAAGTCATTTCACAGTGCCTAATTCACAAGCCACGTGCTTACTTGGCCTATTAATACCGTGCGGCCCAAATTCACAATGTGTAATTCCATAACCCACTCAAGCCATCAAATGGCCAATCACACTCCGCACGAGTCGGCCACACGAGCACACGACATGGCATTATTCAATTCCCTAATAAATGGGCACAACAATCAACAAGTCAGTCAGCCCGGGCATACCCGGCAGTCCAGTCACCTAATTCTCGACTAGTCCGCGCCACCCCAATAAATCACTAATATTATTCTTGTCGCCATTACCATTGTTCGACTCACTAATTTCTCCCAATGTACACCGATAATCCTCAACCCAGTCCAGAAAATGCACTATCAGTCCTAATCCGGATTTAGGAATTATACTCACTTAAATTCTGGACCACGACGACGAGGAACGGCGGTCGATCACCGATGAACAGTGAAACCGGCAGTGGCGTTCCCGGCGTACGGTCACTGTACGGACCGTACGGACACTGTACGGATGGCGACGTACGGCGACGTACGGACGGACTGGGGGTCGCAGCGGCAGCAGCTCGGCCAATCGGGCTCTGGCACGGCGGCGGCGAAGCTCCGGCGTTCCTTTGGTCGGACGGAATACTAGGGAGAGAGAGAGAGCGGGGACGAGGGAGAGAGAGAACGGGGAGGCTGAGGGCAAGGCTAGGCGACGCCGGCTTCCAGCAACTCTGGCAAATGGCGGCTCCGGCGGTGCTCCGGCGTACGGACGGCAACCGAGAGGAGAACGGCCGGAGGAGGAGGAAACGGGCGGAAGAGGTTGATCGGTGGGGGTTCTGGCAAAAAATGAGGAGGAGGAGAGAGAGAGGGGGTCAATCCGGTCAAATAAGGTGGGCCAAGGGCGCCACGTGTCGCCGATCCGAGAGTTTTGACCACAATACCCCTAATCCGACGATCCTCGTTCGTCTCTATCCAAAAATTGAGGGGTAAAAGGGTAATTAAGGCCAATAATGCAGCTGAAGACCCTTAATAATTATCCCAAATAATTTCCCAAAAATTCGGACCCGAAAACGGCCAAGGGGCAAAACGGTTATTTTTCCAATCCCGAGGCGAAATTCCAATTTTTGGCTATATCAACCCCAAATGGGTGTGGCCAACATAATATGGCGTCGGAATCGCGAAAATAGCCTCTTAAGCCCTCGAAAATCGACTGCAAAGTTCTGGGAATAAAATAATATTATTTTTCACTTCCGAGCCAAAATTCCAATTTTTTACTGAAATAACTCTAAATGCGCGTGGCCACCCTAAAATGACATCGGCCGCGAAAAATAACCTCAGACGGCCTCAGAATCAACGTCGGTGTCCCGAGGGGCAAAATCGTCATTTTTCACTTCCGGGTCGAAATTCCATTTTTCGACCGTACTATCCCCAAAGGTGTGTGGCCAGCGTAATATGACGTCAGAATCGTGAAAATAGCTGTACAAGTCCTCGAAAATCGGTACCTAAATCCGGGATCAATCTCGTGACCAAAACTCGCTAAATTTTCAATTTCAGGGTCTCTCACTAACGGGCGGCTGTTTAGGGTTTACGCGTATCGACCTAGTGTTATCCGAGTCATGACGGTCCCAATCATCGAGAGAATGAGAAATTATCATTAGTCCCAGAGGTCGTGATCGTTCGGTTCCAGTTCAGGGCTGGTTGGCCACGTGCACTTTCGGTCGTGCAGAATCACCTGCGATCCGATTGTACATCGTTGGTGTGACATTCTGAATTTCGGGCCATTTTTGGGATTTATAAAACGTGTAATTCGTCGGTGTGCTTATAGTAAAATCTCGCTCGGGAACTGATCACTCCCGGTTATTGATTTTAAAATTGAGATTTCGCTAGAATCGCACTTGATCGAATTTGGCCGTTATTTAGAGCCCAAACTTTGGTGTTGAATTTCTCGGAGTTACGGGACGAATTTAATTGGACGGTGTCAATATTATTGTGGCCAGCCTCGATATTACCCGGGATATGCGAAAAGTAAAATTTTGACCGGGTGCAGATTTGGACTAGTAAACTTCCCTCGTAGTATATTTTTATTAATATCTTTTGGCCCTTTTCCTATATTATTAATAGGAATTTTCGTGGACCGTTGGATCGTTTTTTAATTTGATCAAGGACCGTTGGATCGCACTTGAGTGCGATGTTGACTTTTCCTCTCTCTCTCTCCCTTCCCTTTTACACGTCGGTCCCCCCCCCCCCCCCTTTGCGTCTGACACCCACTAGCCCCCACTAACTCTCTCTCTCTCCTCTTCTTCTTTTTCTTTTTCTTCTTTTCTTTTCTTCTCTTCTTCTTCTTCTTCGCTGGTTCCACTTCTGGTTCGTGCTTCTGCTCCTTCGTGCTGCTCACCGACCAGACCGCCCTCCCTTGCCGGAACCCGGCCGCTCGCCGCGCGCCGCCTTCCCGCGCGAGCCACCGCCACCCTAGCTCCTCCGGCCGAGCCGCACCACCGCCACTCCCCGTAGTCGCTGTCGCCGGCTCAGTTCCGGCCGGGCGCGAGCCGCACCTCCCGCCGGCCCACCACCGTCCGTCCACTGCCGGCCACCGCCGTTGTCCCAGCTGCCGGACACCACCATCGCCCGCCGTTCACCCTTGAACTACCCGCCCGGCCACCACAAGCAACTGTCTCCCCTCGCCACGCCCGTTCACCGCTCACCGGAGCATTCCGAGGACACCGCGGACCGTCCTCGTCACCGCCGTCGTCCTCGCGTCGTCGCCGGCGTTAGCCGAGTAAGTTAACCCCTAATCCCGTGTTTAGGGCGTTAAACTTGCTTAGGGTAGTTTAATTTATGTTTAGTTTGTGTTAATTGTGGGTTAGTGGTTAATTAATTGTGTTTAGGGTATAAGTTATTGATTAGTTTATTGTTATTGATTATTATATGAAATGTTATTATTTTCGGAATTTAAATATTATTTTATTAGTTAATAAATTAATTCCGAATTAAATATTATTATTTTATTATTAAATAATTAATTTCCGAAAATTAAATGTTATTATTTTCGGAAAATTTCTAGCGTCAAATTGTGATACCAATGTTGGTTTTCGCCGTATAAGTTGGCGTATTTAGGAAATGATTTGAATGATTTCGATTCGAGGAAATATTTTGACATTTTGAAAAATTAAATTATTTTCGGATATTAGTAATTA